GTGGGGCTGAATCACGAAGCAGAATGAAACGATTGTCGACGTAGCGCTCATGCCAGATCACACCAATGTCGGGCATGCAAAACCGCAGAGAACACATTGTTTGGTGCCAGAAGAAATCCTCAACCGTGGCAACCAAATTGCACAACGGTGGCGCGGCTGGTGATCCCATAGCGACTCCCCGTTCTTGGCGGAACAAGTATCCGTTGATCTCGAAGTGACTGTTGTCAATGACAAAGTCCAGAAGGTGCCGGAGATCTTGTTCACGAAAAGTTCGAGGGATCTTGGTTTGACGGCGCCACTTTCCTTTGAACATACGGCGTCGATGATCTGACTTTACTTCGTACACTGACCATTGAGAGGAACTGCGAAGGCCAACAACTTGATCGTACCGATGGAGAAGCACTTGCAGCGCCTGGTGGAATCGTTCCGTAGGAATGGACGTGAAGAAGCCTGACAGGTCATGCGACACCAGGTGGATGTACTCATCGGGATCTGCTTTTGACAGCGCTTCCCACAGCTGCTGGACAAGTTCTTGTACTGAAAGTTGACCTGCAATGTCGGGAAAGGCAGCTTTGGTAAGTTCAAATATGAGTGCGCCGAAGACCGTGAGGAAGGGAGCTGCCCATGTGCGAAAGAATGAAATGATGGGTCGTGCTTTCTGCCAGTCCTTGGTCGGCTTTGGAAGGATACGTGCTGTGGGCAGCGGTGCTTGAAGTCGAAGTCCCCATGCATATCGTTGACGTAGGAGAGAAGGTACCGTGGTTACCACTTCAGAGCGAAAAGATGCTGCGGATTCACGGCAAAGCGAGAAGACATCTCCCGAGCAAAAGGTCTTCCGCAACAGTATGGCAAACAGGGACGGACAAATCACATGTGCGCGGGAGGGAAAATGATCCGCCGGGATAACAACCCACGAAGACAGAGAAGCCACGGTGCGCTGCAACGATGTCGATGACCAATAAGCACGATCTTGGAGGTTAGTTCGATGAGTGTCCATTAACTGAGTCAAAACCGGCTGCAGATCTGAAAGAAGACTGGAACCATGCACATGCCAGCGACGAGCAAGTTTGCGAAGTTGCGTGGTGAAACGTTGATGTAATAAGTCGACATCACCGAAATACTGATCCTTCATTGAGGCGGCCATGATTTCCATGTCAATGTCCGCATTGATGCGAGAAAACTCATCCACCATTACAGCATGACCATGTGCTCGGTGTATATGGTGATCATCGATGTCCAAACAGCGACACGGAAAGGATGTTTCAGGAGTCCATCTGCGCTGCCATGTGCGGTAGTTGTATATCTTGTCGCCCAACGTGGCACTGCGAGTTTCCACCACCCGGATCTTTGGAATGAAAAGAGAAGGGAACAGATCCCGATGAGAAGCAATCCAGCGTTGTAGCCATCTGCCAAGTAGAGCTTTCCAATTCCGGACATGCAGCGGCGGTAAGAGTAGCTGTGTCAAAGTGGTGGGTGGTTGTAGCCGTCGTTTGCGCAACACCTGGGCGAGGAGTTTCTGCGCCTTGGAGCGGAAGGGCTCGTTGACAAAGACGGCGAGCCGCAGTAAGTAGTACAGCTGAGTAGGAGGGAAAGCGGCCGACAGTAGGTCACGCATGGCTTGGAACGATGCTCCTGTATTGGATCCCAGCTGATAGAGAATAGAGTAATGGGCCTGAATGTCATCCAGCATGTCGGGTCGTAGTTGCCGTTGGAGATCCGGATGTAGTCGTCGTCGAAAGCGCTTGTGCAAGCTGAGGGAAGTGGGAGACGACAACGAGTGACGTCGAAAATCCACGAGATGTTCCCGGAAGCCCACCTTTCGCAAGATTCTGTGTACCCAGGGCGCATTCAAATGCGGGCGTAGCAAGTATTGCCATTTACTTTCTTGAACCCACACCGAGGAAACGGGAAGTTTGATCTCCACCGGAACAGCACAGAAGAGCCAGTAAGTATTGGATCTCTTCCAGTAGTGAAGCGCGGGTTCGAAGAAGGCATGCCGTCCACGAAGTAGTTGTAGAAATTTGCGACTGCGTGAGTGTTCACGACGTAGAACATCCTGATCAGTCGCCCCACCATAGTAGGGTGTGTGCCATGGGGAAAGTCGAATGTAGACGCACGGTTGTTGATGATGACCTGGATCGTGTATGAAGTCATAGAGGTCAGGAAATCGTGCCCGCAATGAGCGAAGATGTCGCGTGTCGGCAAAAGTGGAGTGCATGATTTCACACAAGAGAGAAGCCTTGTAGAAGTGAAGGACTTCAAAGAACGGCGGAAAGTAGCCATGATCTTGGGAAATGAGACGTTGTAAGAAACTGATCAATAAATAGGCAGTGCACCGACATCTATGAATTTCATACCTGTTGGCCACAGTGTGTTGAGAGCGTGACATAGCGTGATTCGGAATCTGAAGGGCAATCCGGACCACAACTAAGACTTCGAGAATGAGGCCCAACCACGGTAGTTGTGTGATTGATTCGTACTCATCAGCTGGAATCGACGGTGGTGGTAGTCCAGGGAAGCAGTATTGCCAGCACGTAGAGAACATGGTCAACGAGTGTAAAAAGTTGTCCAGAGACTGCCATTGTGCAACATCATCATAGATTCCACAGCGGCGAAGCTCATCCAACATGGTGAAAATGCAACCAATGAAATCTACCATAAGGCGGCGACATGGATACAAGCTGCACAGACAATCACACACAAGGCAATGCAAGAACTATCAAGCACAAGATCAAACTGGCGCAACGCAGAAAGATGACGGACGAGTTTTAACCTTGACTCATCCGTGACATGTTTGCCGCTCCAGGCTCATAAGAGAACGAAGGTCGTTAAGATGCCTGCTCATCCGCTGAGTAGGCGAGCGGTCACGATGAGGTGACTCAATGCCTTCTCAGTGAGCTTGGTAAGATAGCCGGGCTCCAGTCCCCACGAAGCCGCCATCGCCCCGAGAGTGGGTGCGTCGCCTTTCGGCATGCGTTGACGCGCCTGAAGGAGCTGCGTCGCCATGGAATCTAATGACTTGTTGCCGTTGAGCCGGGACGGGTGATTGGCCCACTTAACCAGCGACGCCAAAGTGGTGGTTGTGGGCGATTGCTTGAGATAAAGGCGAGGCTGGTCACTGGTCCATGTGTAGTACTTGACAACTTCATCCGGCGTGCTGTGCATGGTGAGCAATTGTGACGCCGCCGGCTTGGACGGCGGTGACGACACTCCGTGAAGAGACTGAATGATCCGAGGTTGCACCGTGCTATCAAACGACTTGCCATCAAGGGCCGCTGCGCTGGCTGTAGGAAGGGAGCTGGCAGGTGACGAGGATGTTGTGTGGTTGACCGGTGGCGGTGTAACCAACTCTGCATCATCTTTCTGGCTTGCCATCGTGGGAGAGGTCGAAGCGCGCAGCGATGCGGAATACTGAGCTTGGAGCAGTTCATGCGCACGATTTAGATCATTGTACTTCTTGACCATGTCATCTGTCTGGGTGGAAGGTGTGAGAGAGGTGTGATGTTGCTGAAGAAATTGAAGTACCAAGCTGGCCAAATGGTCATGAACCTTGATCCGCTGATTGAAGTCATCGATGTTGAGACCCAGCGAGTTGGCAAGGTCCTTTTCCAGGGTGAGCAGGTTGATCGACTGTGATCGTCGTAGTAGTTTGGAACAGGTACTCCAAAGTAAGGCCTCGGTGCGAGTGCGAAAGCCTTCCCACGTCACGAATCTGCCGTGAGCGAACGGTCGGAGCAGCCAGTTGGTGAGGCCCCCGTGAATAACCTGAACCAGGCGAACGTCACGAATATCCATGCCTGACATGTCGCGCAGGTTGCCATGCGGAGTGTTGGCAACGGTCATGGGCAGGCTAAAGTTGTAGAGCTGATTGACATCAAACATGCCATCTCCAGGTGTCCAGTCAGGCGAAGGTGTAAGCCAGGCTTTCTGAGGACGAACCGGTAGAGCCGCAGGAGGTCCAGGTGGCGGTGTAGGTTGAGGAGTAGTGACCGGTGGTGGCATCACGGGTGGCATGAACTTGGTTGGCGTGGGGTCTGGAGGGATCGGCATCATGTAGTTGATCGCTGGGTGTTGGAATTGCTGTGTGGGGCTGTGAGTCGATTGAAAGTTGGTGGGCATCATCGGAAAGTTGTTGGCAGAGTTGTAGCCGGAATTGTGTTGCCACGATACCAGGTTGTTCCAATCCATGTTATCCGAGACCTGGCTGTCATTGTGTTCACGTCGGCGTGCTTTGCGAGCTTGAGGGGAAGGACTCCGATCACGTCTGCGCCGAGTCCTAGATCTATCTCGATCATCACGTCGAGACATGATGGCACAACAAATGCAAAACCGCAACTCCACAATCTTGAGAGGAACGAGTCCGACAAAATGCAAGTCCATGCAAGTTCAAGTCAGCAGCCAGCAGCAGACCTAGTGAGACGTCTCTATGATCTGACGGCTGTCTTCCCTTTAGTGAAACCTCGTTCCTGGTTAAATGTGAAATTCCGCTGTTCTATGATAAGAACGTTGAGGTCAAATTTTCCGACAGAGCCGGCCCGGGGTCACACAATGGGTACACCCGAGGATTCCCCACGAATGGGGTGTACACACTTGAACTCCAAATGGAGAGTGCTAATCTTTCGAGTACAACTGATGAGTTTCGAGTACAACTGATGAGTCTCGAGTATGGTGAGCTTCGACTCGCATAACGCTTGGCTTCCCTGTAGCTACTTGAAAAGGGCACACAAAGCAACGGCGGTTCAGGGGGGGACCAAAAGGACATTCACAAACATCACAATTGCAGGTACGTCCAACGGCTTCCCGTTGGATTTCACCAGCAAAGAAGGGCGTCTTCATTGGCGCAGGTCCCTTCAATGCTGCCCGCGCCCCCTGCTGCAGCGGAAAAAGGTTTTGGTGGCAGGGTATTCTGCCACTCCGCACACACACACACACACGTCCATGTCACCTCCTTGGCGCTGGGAACTTGGAACTTTGAGCCGCAGCTTCAGCACAGCCCGCGCCTCGGCCCCTTCCTCCCGCTCCACGATCAGCGCGCGGCCCCACCTGAGCTTGGGAACTGACACGGGACTGGGGCTTGCGGCGTGAAGACCCGACCCCTCCATTAGGGGTCTCAAAACCAGGTTGTTTGAAGGCCCGAAATCAATCGGGAGCCTCTGGGCGGGTTGGTTTCACAGGAAAACGACGGGGAACTGAGGGAACCACAGGACAACCAACAGGGAACTGAGGGAACCACAGGAAAACCAAAAGGAACTGAGGGGAACCACGGCAAGCAAAGTGAACCGCTGGGAAGCAAACGGAAACAAAAAGAACCAGGGGGGAAACCCACAAAGAACCACAGCGACCGAAAGGGGAATGACAGGAACCACAGGTTGCCCCGAGCTCTTACCTGCACCTCCGACTTGCCGTTTATGCAAACGGTGCTCTTCTGTAGCCAGTCGGAGCGAAAACACAACGCTATCTATGCCCAATGTCTGGACCCGACCACCCCAACTCCTGTTGGAACTGTCTTGTCACAGAACCACAGTCACGTGGTTGAACCACAGAGAACCACAGGAACTACAGGGAACCACAAAGAACCACAGGGAACCACAGAGACCCGGACCACAGGAACCCCATGTCGCTTGACTGAGGGCAGCGCGGCTTTGTGAAGTTCAAGGCCTTCACACATTGCTTGGCCTGGCGAACCGAATCGGAGAGAAAGACGAGTGTTTGTCTCGAAAAAGGACTTGCCTAGATAGCCAAGTTGCTGCTTTTTTCAGTCGCGGTTGCTGGTTTTTGGGGTAAAGTGGGATGGGAAAAAAAAAAACAGCAACTTGCGATCCAGGTGGACCCAAAAAAGGGCGGCTTGCCTTCCCCTCTTCTGAACCAACTCAGAAGGGTACTTCGAAAAAAGTCACACCCATACTTTGAAAGGAGGCAGGGCAGCCGTCGAATCGGAGTCCGCCGAAATTTGCCGTCAACTCTCAATTGACTCAATTCTTTGCATCCGGGACAAAGTCGGGGGAGATGGCTCTCGTGCGCACTAGAAGAAAAGACACGTTGTTTCCGACTCCCTTACGACTGCGGGTTCAAACTGATTCAGTTTGCCGAGGCCCACTCCCGCCTCTCTCTTTCTGGACATTAGCACAATGGCACAGCCCTTGCCGACACCTCAGGCTGCTTCAAAACCCTGGTCATGGCTATCCGAGCCCCATTGTCACCATGCAAGTGCATGGTGATATTGACCCAGTTCTCGTGCGTGCCTTCGAGTGTGGATCCCCATCCGGCCATCCCCATGTCAAGTTCCAGCACCATCCCTTGTCAAGTGACCCCGCAGAATTGGCTACGTCACAGGTACTCAACCTGACCGCACCCCTGTGATACCAAGCTAGGAGTCCAATAGCCAATACCCATTTCCAGTCCATGAAGCGCTTTTGTTAGCTGGGAAAAAGCCAAAATAACACCTCCACAGTTGAGGCGGTCTTGGTGTTGCCCAATTGCTCTTCACTTGGAAGTTCTACTGCACAGCGAGACTTGTCGACGGCAAATTAAATGGGTGTGTGCCTTTTTTGAGGCTGGGTACCCTGGTCGGGGAGGTTTTAGAGGCAAGCCAAAAGGAAAACCACTCGATTTTTAGGCGGCTTCTCCACATGCTTCAGAAGGAGGAAAGCTCAGCCCTCTTGGAACTGATACAACACAGCGGGTCCATCTGGTCAGACTAATTTCTGGTCGCGTTTCGTGCTCTCGGCGTAAGCGCGGCGTGGCGCCTTCTTTCTGTTCACCCGGTTTCACCAGGCTGGCAACGAAAAAAATTGACCGCGGGCGCGCGAACTTTCAATTGCATGGGGACAGGGTGTGAGCCTGTTGTTGTGAAGAGGGCGAGTTTTTTTGATCTTGGTGTAGGGCCCTCTAAAATTTGATTGGCATGCGTTGATGTCCACTTCGAAAGATGGGGGTCCACCAGTTTTTGTCCCCCAACCAAACCAGGTAGAATAAATCTAGAACCACCTGCCCAAATGGCCATCGTACCCCCAGTGAACATGCCAATCCCCACTAAAAGAGCTTCCGGTGCACCCACCCGGAAATGGGATCCCAAGACGGTGTTGACGTTTTGACCCACAGCCAAATCATAGAGAACCACATGGACCGAATAGGTTTAATGGACCGAATAGATTACCATTCGGTCTAATGGGTCCACGAAATCAGGTTACCTACCCCAAAATGGGATCCCAAAACGGTTTCGACCCACAGCCAAATGGCCCGAGCATGGCATTCGGCTTCTCGCTGGGAAGAAGGCTCGTGCCCTCTTCTGTGGCCAGCTCCACATCCCGCACCGTGCCCTGCCTGGCTTCTGGCCCCGCAGAGTCCTATTGGAGCCCCCCAACAAATGCAGCGGCCAGGGCCAAACCACAGGACACCTGGAAAACTCTGCAGTTTGTGTAAGTCCAAACCACATCAGAAAACTCGGTGGTGGATTTTTCTACAGCATATAATTCCAAATTCTACATCCAGGGCAGCTTGCTTTTGCAGCCAGTGGAGCTCGCTGTCTTTGGCGAGAAAAATGGGACAATCGCCCATTTCCCCATTTAGAACATCATCAAAGAAGGGGCTCCCCAGTTGCGGGGCACAGCCCACCAGGTCCAGAGGTCAGTGATGTATCCTGACTAGAAGGACTTGCAGCGGCTTGCAGTGCTCCACGGCTCTTGTCCTCTTCGACCCAGCCTTCTGGGCTCAAGGTTGTCAGAACCAGGATCTGGGCATTCTCCACCAAACAGACGTCCCGTCCGCTGGTCTGCGTCCCAAAAGCCGCGACTCATTTCTCCCCCCCCCGTTCCCCGAGCGAACAGTTCCCCCAGCCTGCCAAAGAGGTCCCGGAGCTCCGGCTCGCCGGTGCTCTTGTCCAAGTTTTTGACAAAGACCTGCCGCTCGCTTCCCTCTCACAGCATCAGTCCACCCTGAAATCAACTCTCAGATAATTTCTTGAAAGCACCATGGTACATGTCAGCCCTCGTTGAGCGTGGAACCCACCAGAGGGGTTCCTGTTTTGAGGCAAATGGTCTTCCAGGTCCCCCCTGCCAAATCCCATGTGGGCAGCCTGGCAGCCTGGAGGCGCCTCCGGCTTCTCGCCTTGGCTCGCTTCGCTCGCCGCCGCACCCTTTCCCGCGCGGCGCCGAGCCGAGCCCCGGGCGCGCGGGGGCCTTGGCCTTGGGAGCCTTGGCAGCCGGCGGGGCCTCTGGCGGCTCCGGTTCTTCCGGCTCGCCTGGCGAGGCTCACCTAGTGCGACTCCAACACTACAGTCACAATCCGGACTGCCCGGAACCAAGAGAAATCAGGTGTGTGTGTGTGTGTGCCTATCTTTGGGGTAAAGTTGGTGTGATGGCCCGTGGCTCAAACAGTTGCCTAGCGTCGAAAGCACCCGAGATTCGGGCCCGAAACTGCTCCAAAACATGCTCAGGATGCAACAAAGAACTGGGGGTGTTTCTCCCCTAAGGGGTCGCCTTGGATGGCGGGAAAGGGAAAACTAAAAGGAAGCCCACCGCCTCAAGGGACCCACCAAATTTCCTTGCCAGACATGTTTTCCAGGATGGCCATGATGCGCGTTGCCTGTTGCTCGCCCAAACCCTGGCGCAGCTCCCCCCACGCAGCCCGCTCTCCGCTCGGATCGATCCCAACTCCCCGGGGCCTTTGGAGGCGGCCTCCGCGGGCTCCTGGCGCCGCCGGCTTTCCGCGGCCGTGCGTCCAGCGAGGCGCAAGGAACGCGTTCAAATCGCTTGCACCAAATGACCATCTGTGTGTGGGCGGTATCCGAAAGGAACAATCCGTGAGGGTCATCTCTGTGTGTAGTATCCGAAAGGAACAATCCGTCATCCAAGTTCGGTTGTTTGGCTTGCCATGCTGGTCCAAAGACCCCCAGCTCCGTCCCCCAGCCTCCGGAGGCGGGGTTGGTGCCGCAGCATCCTTGTCAGGCTCCTGAGAAGTGGAGAGTCTTCACGTTGACAAGCCACCCCCGCAAGCCGCATGTCAAAACTTGTGCCCAAGAGGGCGATGTAGCGGCCCCCCCTACTTTTTATGGGAAGTTGAGCGAGCTCACCCATGTCACATGGACCATGGACAACGAACCTCATGTGTCCTTTTTTTTTAAGGAACCAAAGGAGACCACTCCTGACCAGGAGGCCCCCAACGACTATCAACTGGTTTCTGAAGCGACTCTTTTTGGGCCATTTGGGCGTGGCCCAAAATTTAAGAGCCAGGGTGAGGCAGGTTTTAGTCTTTGGTTTTACCCAGGCGCCATTTGAGTACATGTCGTTGAGCCACCGCCATTTTGGGTCCTTTGGAGCCTTCCCTTTCACACCCCCCCTCCTCCGCCTCCAGGTCGAGCCCAGGCCCTCGAAGCATGGAAGACGATGTGTGTCGGTTCTTGGGGTGGGTCTGGCGGTTTGTCTTGGATTGAAAAGGGAACCCGACCATTTTGGAGAGTCCCCATTTAGATATACCCAATGTAGACCCACTTTGACCGGGGACGAGCGGATGCCCTGCAAACAGTCGAGCGTTTGCCATTGAGTGATGAAAATAGACGAAAACCAAAGGGCATACGGCCTCCCTCCCTTTTTTGGGCAACCGCTATCCGACTTGGATCCAGCTTCGCGCGAGAACTCGCGACCCAACACCTCGCGGGTTTTGAGGGAAGCGGCGCGCGCGCTAAGCCCAGGGCCCAGCAAGCCATCCACACTCGGGAGATCCAGACCCAAGGCGGCGCCTCCAAAAACTGCCGGCTTGGATTGTTTTTCTCCACTTCGCGGCCAGCCAAAAAACCTGTTTGGGCGCTCCCTTCCGGGATTTTTTTCTCCACTTCTCGGCCTTCTAAAACCTTTTGGGCGCTCCCTTCCCGGATTGTTTCCCCACTTCTCGGCCTTCCGGAAAATCTAATTAGGCGTCCAAATGGTTGGGGCTCAAAAAACCGGAACCAAAATGGAACCCTGGTAAGTGGAACCATGGACCAAAACCTGCGTAACCCCTCCTGTTTAATTTTGAGCCACACCCAAATGGTGGGGGCGTTCTTGTTCCCCGAAAATTCCCGCGAGCAGCCGGCCTTCCTGGGGCTCGTTCCGGGCCGCCGCTTCCGCCTCCGCCTTCTTGATCCGCTCGGCGGCCTCGACGTTGTGACGGGGGACGTGGGCAAGAGGGGGGGGATTGTGTTTGAATGGGAAGCGGGGCAAAAATGCTGTCTTAAAAAACAGCATCCCAACACATGCGCACTCTGGGTGCTCAAAACTGAACAGTGGTGGGTGGCAAGTGTCCAGGGACCACGTACTTCCCCTTTCCCTCCAAGACAAGGCGCGACCACACAACATCGGCCCTGGGCGTCGGGCGGGCGGCACCGGGGAAGCGGTGCGCTCGGTGCTGGTCCAGGCGCCCCCGGAGTTGGTGGAGTGCGTCCGCACGCCGAGGCCCTTCAGCCGCTGCAGCACCAGCGACTCTGCCGCAGAGCGCCCAGACCTGGAGCCGCCAAATGAGTCGCAATCAAACCTGGCCTAGCTCTCGAGGAAGTTTTAGGAAGGAAAATTCGTGTTTACAGCCCCAGAACAGTGTACAGGAATAAAAAGGCGGCCGCAGCCATTTATGGTTGGGATCGTCCCTTACTAACCTTCATCTACCCGGGTTTTGAGCCAGTGGCTCAAATGGGAATGGCAGAGGCTTCGAGGTGGAAACACATTCGGGCCTGGAGCCGTCCGGGTCCCGGCGCTTTGCCGAGGCCGGAGCTTTGCCAGGCCGGAGATGCCGCCCTTCTCCAAAGCTTCGGAGACGCTCGACATCACAAAGGCGGCCTCGGGCCCGCCGCGTTGCAAGCTCGCTTCGGCGCGGCCGAGCCTGCTCCCGCGTGAGCTTCAACATCAGGAAGGACCTGGCGCGTGAGAGTCCGGCCGAAATCGGACGGCTGTTCCATCAGTGCTAACAGGCACGAAGCGCGTCACAGGCGAGATGCGATTCTGGGCCAAGAAGTCCCTCAGCAGAGCAGCATGGGAGGAGGCTACGTGTTCGACATGAAGCAAGGCATCATTTTATCCCCTGCGCATGGAGCCAGCCTCTAAGCCTTCACTTGAGATCTTTAAGGAGGAAAGAAATGTTCAAATGAAGTTGCGACACAACATTTGGCTGCTGTCTTCTAGGCCACCAAAAAATACTATCTTACCACTTCTCAGCTTGACCCTGGACCATCATCAACTGTTTCCAGGGAATGCGCCCCTCCAAAAGTGGGACAATCCAACCCTGGTGGGATGCCTAGCTCATGCAGCCGACCAACTAGCAAGTCATTTTGCCAGGCAAACCATCACACCCAGCCGGGAAGAGTCGTCTCTTTTTGAAGCCACCCCATCCTGCGCATAGGTGGCCCTTTTAGACGTGGACCCGCGTGTTTTCCCTGGCTTTCTGGAACCAAACCCATCCAAACCCGCGGGACGCTCACCCCCACCCAAAAAGGACCCCCTTCGCCCCTTCGCGCCGGCGTCTTCGGGTTTCGGGGGCGGCGGGGAAAAAGGAAATCCCCGGGCGGCCGGCTCCAGCTCCGCGTTCCGCTCCGCGGCGGAGGCCAGGAGCCGCGCCTCTCCGTTCCGGTCTCCGTTTGGGGGGGTTCATGGGGGGGGTTGGGGGGTTCAGAGGAAAACCTCTTTGTGGAGGGAAACCTCTGGAAGGGGGGGGGGGGGGAAAGATGGGTTTTGGTGGTCTCTTTTTGGGTGGTTGAGGGAAACCCATTTGGGGGGTTTGCTCTATCTTGAGAAAAAAACCATGTGGGTGTGGGAATATGGGTTCGTAACAGGGGGAAACCCAGGTCGCTTCAATTTAAGTCGCACCAAGGAAAGCGAAAATGTTCTGCTTGGGGGCCCTGATCTAAAGGGGTTCTGAACAACTTGCTGGGGCTCCCTCGACAAACATGTTTTCACCGAACCTGTGGCTTCAGGAATTTCAAATCCCCCGATCCAAATCCCAACCAATTCGGTGAGGCTACCCCTGTTGTGAGTGGCTTTAACGGGCAACGACCAAAACCCTTCCGCGCCCCTGGCCTTGGGGGGCGGGTGCTCCGGTTCCGGCGGCGGCTCCTGGCTCGATGGCGACGAAGCCAAGACAATTTGAATGAATATTGAAGGACTTGGGGCACCCTAGGTCTGGTTTCTATGTTCTACAAACTGCGTGTGGGGGGAAACTGGATACCCCAACGCGGCCGCAGCCACCCCCGCCACCAGCCTCGGGGGGCGGCGGCGGCAACGCCTCGCGGGCGAAAAAGTTCCGTCCGATCCGAGCGGCGAATCGGACCGCGCCTTGGCCGAGCCGTGCCTTAGCCGCGAGGGTTGTCCAACGGCTGTGGTTGCCCAAAATGTCGGGGAACTTGGACTCAAAGCCGCGGTCGGAAATAATACGAACAGGAACCAGACCTTTGTTGAAACTGAAGGGGGCGGATTGTCAAAATGAGGGGCCCTTTTTTGGTATCCCCTTTGTCCAGAACGAAGCCATTCGACAACCTTCCATGTGGCTTGAGAACGTGCCAAGGACTCATGCTGCTTCCCAAGTCTGAGCAGTCGGCCTGGTTGCCTTCACAATTCAAGGCGAGCCAATTCCAGTTGGATCCATGCTTGAAACGACCCAACAAGCCAGTATCAGTAGTGCTTGGCATGCTCCCAGCATCCAGCCTCGCCCCGCGCGCCTGCGAACTTGAGGGCATTTGGGGTTGGCACCACAGATGCAGACAGTCAGCAGTTGTGCATCAAGCAAATGCTTGCACTTCTGTCGCGCCGCGCAATCTTGGAAACCGCGCCTCTTGACCTGAGTTTCACCGCCAGATCTCGAAGGCCGCACACTTGCAATTTAAAACGCGATGCATCTTATGAAAGGCAATCTGCAGAATCGCATTTGTCGCAAATTCACGCGGTGAGCTGAGGAAGTCACTTGGAGCCACTTCGGCTGCGACTGCGGCGACTGCGACCGCGGCTTCCGCTGCGGCTGCGGCTGCGGCTGCGGCTACGGCTGCGACTGCTGCCTGGGGAGCAATGGCGGAGGTTTCCCCTGTTTGCCTATCTCCCAACTTGTCTCAACAAGTTCTCAATTGTTCCCTTTCAAGGTTTCCAGTTTCCCTGCAAGCGAACCACCACATACTGTTCATGGCTGATTCCCATGTCATGTAGGGCTTCATGCATGGGCGCACAACTTTCTCCTCCAAGCAGGCTCACCGCCCCCAAGGGAGGCCGTTTCCCGCTCCCTCGCTGAGAACCGAAACCCCTCTGAGCCGGCGGCTGCTCGAGCTGGAGCCGCGCTTGCGCCGAGCACCTGGCGGCGTTTGGACCCTAGCTGGCATTGCGCCCGGCCATGTGGACTCGCTTGACCATACCAGAGGCCAATGCCCTTGGCGCTTGAGCGTGTCACCCCCTTCTCAAACCCAACCTACGCCATGACAACTCTGCAACTTGTCGGATGATCTCCATGTGCCATGACTTGGGAGCCTCTGCAAGCCCTAAATTTCCCATGGCCATCCCCAATCACCCTAAGTACCCGCTCCATCATTCCAATTCGAGCCCAGGAACCGTCCATCTCAACGAACCCTTTGCTTGAATCTTGCCTCCGAGGTCACCGAAGCCCACCCTCTGACCAGGCACCGAGGCTCAAAAAAGGCCGCCCAACACCCCGCCTCCCATGGTGGCCCAGTTGACCGCGCGCCGGAACCAAGGCTTGGCTCCCCACCTAGGTGGAACCCCCTTGAAGTGGCGGCTTCACAGCTTCGGACGTCCCTTGAAAAAACAAAAGACCCAAACTTCAAAGCAACGTGGACCCAAGGTGCCACGCGGGTGTGTGACGGCCTTTGGTTTGAGCAGCGAAAGGTGAAGGCGCCTATTTTGAGGCAATCTCATGTTTCAGGGTCTGGATGCTGTTTCGGAGGGGTGCCCATGCACCTCTCGCACTCACAGCCATCTGTACATGCGAAATAAGGCGTGCAAGGTGGAGACTGTGGAAACTGTTCATCCACCGTGCCTAGCTTGGTTTCCCGGATCCCACAAGACTAATGCCCGCGGCATGCGAGGAACCCAAGTTCGAGGACTGTACTGGCTACGAATTCATGAACCTCGTTCGGCTTGGCTGGCGATGTCCTTTACATCCTCTTCCTCCAGGAACAGCTTGGTTTCTGTCCGCTGGATGGCCTCCGGAGCCAGCTCCTTGGCCTTCTCCTCCGCCTCTCTCGCCTTCTCCTGCGCATCCTGCTCGGTGCGACTGTCGCCGCCTTCGCGCTCCTTCCCCGCCTCGTCCGAGGCAGATTTCAGCGGACTGGCCATGGCAAGGCGCGGCCCAGACAGTTGGGTCTGTTGTGAGAAGCTACGACCTGCGCTTGGAGAGTGCGATGCTTCGCGCTGGCTTTCACTGAGCGCAAGGCTCGCCGACCTGCGCCGCGGCAAAGAACATCCTGGGCGTTCGGCCAAGCATCTTCAGCTCAGAACAAAGGGATCAAGGCTTGACTTCAGCTCTGTTGCAGATTCGGGTGTGTGTGTGTGTGTGCGCGTCAAAATGGAGGGACCTCCCAAATGGTGATGCTTAAAGCCACCAAACGGGGAACTATAGGGAAGCCCGTTTTGCGTCGGTTTTCGCGATGCGGGCATGTGCATGTCTCTCTGATCCTTGAGCTGCGGGCCGCAGCGATTTCTCCGGATGGCGCTTGGGGTCATAGTCAGCGACCTCAGAACAAAAAAGCGTCGGCCACTTGGCGAGGGCTCCCCCTTTGCATGCTCCTTGGGTCAATTGAGGCCTCCAGTTGCCCACACTCTCCTGAAAGCATACCATCATCGAGTCCTTTAGCAAGGCCAGGATTCGTCTTACCACTCGATGGCAGTGCCACGTCTGATGAAAGCTGAGTCCCAGGCGCCTCCCTTGCCCTGATCGCAGAACGTCCACCTCTGGTTGCACAGTCCTGACCTCCCCCCTCCTCTGTCTCTGATGGGGACCCATACAACATGGGCGGTTTCTCTTTAGGCGTCCCTTCATCCAAAACACCAACGATGCCCTGAGACCCAACCCCCACATCAGATCCCGCAGGCAGGTTTTGGGAAAGATGGCGGATCATTGAACTGATCTAGAAAACCCATGGAATCGAGCCCACTGCATTTCAACCAAAGCCACAAGGACGATTCCTATGCCGCAAGCTCAAAAAAACAAACTCAGCCAGGGTCTCCAGCTCCGTCCAGCTTGCTCGGGAAGCTAGAAGCTGAGGCCGGCACCACTGCTGCTTGAACGGCGTGCCGCCAGACCGCTGGCCTAAAATCATGGGTTGCAACCTCCCGTTCGCTTTCCTTGTTCCCTTCACACAAACAATCTGGCCATCTAAAATGCTCCAGTTGATCTGAAGAAATGATTGTCCCGTTATTCACATGTGGCATGTGTCATCATCTATGGTATTGCCTGCCACACAGTCGCCTGTCCCTGAGAGCCAGACCCTCCTTGATGAGACTTATCAAAGCCTGGAGCCAGGCGCTGACGGACGGTCCAATTTTTGGCTTGAAGAATGCTTTCTTCCCCCCCCCCCCGCTTTCAATGGGACTCGGCCCTTAAAAGCGAAACAGAAAATCCGGCTTTGGCTGTCTGGGAAGAGCCAATGGCCAATGAGCCCAATGTGCCCGCGGTTGATCCCCTACAGGATCCACCGGCCAAAAGCCGAAGAGGGAAGGCATCCAAAGTAACGGCGCAGGCGGTGAGTCTCCAAATCCAAACAAAAACTCCCCAAATCCCAAAATCCCCCCTCCTTCTCCTCCTCAAACACCTCCACCTCCCCCTTCCCCCTAAAAAAAAATGACAAAACAACCGACCAACCATCAAACCCAAAAAAAAAAAAAACGGACCCGACGCGCGCGACTCCCAGCTGCCGCGAGCTGTCGCTGGCCGGGGCCTCCTTGGAGAGGCTCTCGGGGTCCACGGGGCCGGAGGCCGGCACGGGCGCCCCCGCAGTGATGGGCACCTGCGGCGGCTGTTCGTTGGTGTTGGGGACGGGGTTTTGAGGGTTTTGGGGTTGGGGAGAGGGGGGGGGGTGGAGGGGAGGTTGGGGTGGAGCGGGGTTGTTGGAGGGGGGGTTGGAAGGGGGGGGGTTGGAGGGGAGGGGTTGGAGGGGAGGGTTGGAGGGGAGGGTTGGAGGGGAGGGGCTGAGTTTTGGGGGCGGGAGCGTTGAGGACCCGAGAGGATCGGGCGCATCCCCAAAAATCCACGGGAAGGAGCAGAAAAGCCATCAAACCTACGGCTGGAAGATCACGTTCCTTGAGGGACCGGTTCCTATGCAGGGGGGGGCCAACACGGGACCCAAGGAAAGGAGCCCGTTTCCCGAAGACAGCGGAGAATGTTGCATGGCTGAGACATCCCTCAGGAGTGGCCGTGATCATAGTCATAGGTACTGGGTCGAAGCTATGACCATTGGGAGGGGACTGGTCTAATTTAGACCAGGTGCCTTTCTGAGGGTCAATAGTCATCAGCCCCCACTCCTGCCACCCGCCTGCCACCGCGCTGGCAACTGCTCCTTCGTGGCATCCAGGCCCATCCGTGTGGCCTCACCCTTGGCAAACGCCACCTGGCGTGAGCGCCCAAACCCATTGACTGTCACCAAGTTGTATAGGCCTGCCTACAACCCCCATGGAGTAGTAGGACCACCAATTAAAATTGCCAACTCTGTACCCTCCACATTCCGGCTCAGCGCACCTGAATGGGGCCCAGCTCAGCTCGCTCATGGATCTCGGCACGCACACTGGGTTGAGTCTCTCACACAGAAACTCCCTCACAGCCTCAAGCAACACCCTAGGATCTCACCCTAATGACTCCTGGCGTCCTTTCCAGGCGTTTTTGGCTGTAAGCCATGGACCATCTTGGACCTTTCTCACCCCGGCTACTACATGAAGCGCAAGCCCCAAGACTTGCTACCCCCACTAAACCAATCAAACACATCAATCCACAATCCCTCCATGGGTATGTGGCCATGGGTCAAAAGCCCGTACCCCCGATGAACATCCCAATCCCCACTAAAATAGACTAAAATGGGTGGTTGACCCACGGCCATGTGTTGAGATGGGAGGATCCCCCAATTGAAAACGTGGGTTGTCCCTTTGGTTTCCTGAGATTTGGAGCCCCACCCCCCTTCAAGGCCCCACCAGCACGCGTTTCTCGTGCATCTCCTCGATGGCTCTCTCTGCGGCCTGCTGCTAGCTGTGCACAGGGTACGTGTTGAAAAGGCCGCCCGCCCCCCCCCCCAAAAAAAACAAAAAACGAAAAGGGGGAGAATAAAACAAAAAAACAAAACACTGACTGGTGGTTCTACCAATAGGGTTTGTTAAGGTTCACAACGGCCCATAAACTCTGTGAGGGGCCAATAGCCATTAGAATTCTGGGGACAAGTGTCCTGTGGGCTTTGTCTCCAAATCGATACCGGGGGCTTTTTCCAAGGGCCCAAAATGTGTCCCCAAAAAAATACGTGGCTTCCCTTTGGCCTTGAAAGGACCCATCCGAAAACAACCTGATTTGCACAGGGGGCTGCTCTAAATCAACTGGAAAAGCTATCTTCTTCACTGGCCTCCAGTGGGGGGGATGGAAACCCCTTATTGCTCAACCCCTGTGTACTACTATGGGGTGGGTCCCTGATTTTGCCGGGGATTTCTCACTTTTGGAGGCCCCCCGCACCCCCCATATGGATAGCAGACCTCGATTCATGGCGCAACCCACCCCGAGTTTTCGCCTGGAGGTCCCCGAGGCGCACAAAGGCGCACCGCGCCCCCGAGGCTCCGCGGCCGTCGATGAGGAAGACCTCGAAAGCTTCGGCCCCCAAAAACCCCACGGGAAGCTTCGGCCAGAAAAATTCGGGAGGCCCGTGAAAGGGAAACTAAAAGCAACTTAAAGAGTAATTAGAGGGAACTTAAAGGGAACTTAAAGGGAACTTGAAGGGAACTTAAAAGGATAAAGGGTACTTCGATCCCATAAAGGGTACTTAAAGGGAAACCAAAAGCAAAGCCGCCAGCCTGGTGGGCTGTGTTTGTTTCCCAGGTTCAGTCCTAAAACCCCCCTGAAATTGGTGCCCTGGCAGTCATAGAAAGCCACCGAATGGGCAGACGTGCTTTGCAGCTTGGGCTCTTCTTCTTTTGGGGGGGTGGTCCGTTGTTTCTTGTGGTTTCATTTCTAGTTGGTTGCCCAAAAAAATACAATACAAAGCCCAGGATACATGCCAAAGGGCCGTGAACATTTGATCCCCTTTGTTGACTACCAAAGCGTAGTCTGCTGCCCTGACTTCTAACGGGAGACCCCTCAAAACCGCTTGATAGGTGTGCTTCTTTTAGCTTTATTTTTTTTCAGGGAGAACCAACAGTATCGCGAGGTGCACTAGGGTTTTTGCACTCCCCGCCTCCAGCACTTCTCCGTAATGCTCGAAGGCCCGGTGGAGAAGGTCGGACGTGGTCTGGCGACTCGCGCAACTCGCTGTTGCAACATTTGGCCATAGGTCAAAATCCAAATCGTTCCCCAGTGAACATCCGATTCAATCCAACCACTAAAATAGGTTCTAAAATGGGTGGTGAATTCACCTATACCAACCAGAATGGGATCCCAAAACGGTTTTGACCACCACAGCCATTGAACCGCCAGCCGCTCCCAAACGCTCCCAAAACCTTGTAGGTCCCGATCCTTCCGAGCCGCTTTCGGATTGCCAGGTGAGTCACAATCAGAACCCGGTAGTAAAAGGGTCGACCCAGGACCATGCTTCAAGAATGAAGAAGCCGGCCACAGCTATTCGTGGTTGGGATCGGCACTTACTAACCTTCATCTACCCGGGTTTTGATTGTGGCTCAGGTGAGGTTTGGTCTTGCACGTCATGTTCATCTTTTTGCAGGTCGTTCGGAGGTGGTTTCTAGGAGAGAAATAGAAAAAAAGGCCGGGTGCCCATGGGAACTCCAGCAACAACCGGCGGCATCACCTCCACCGGCAGCCGGCCCACGAAGAGCTTCACTCCGCCCTGAGCGAGAGGCAAATGGGCAAATCGTTTTGACCTCCTTTTTTGGTGGCGGATCCGGGGGCGAGCTGACTTTTGGTTCAGCTGAGGTTATAAAGGTTTATGTACTTGCTATAACAACGGCCAATGTTTGTGTCCCAATGGTTCCCGTCAGGCACAAAGGAACACAGCCAGCTCCGGCATCTGCCACAATTCAAAAAAAAGCTCAAAAGCGCACACAAGCCTCTCCGGGATTTGGTGACTAGTATCATCATGATTATTGTTATTATTGTTATTGTAACTATGTGTTGTTTGTGTTGTTTTTTATCATTGTTATTGCTATTAGTAGTAGTCGTAGTTGTAGTTGTAGTTGTAGTTGTAGTTGTAGTTGTAGTTGTAGTTGTAGTTGTAGTAGTTGTAGTTGTAGTTGTAGTTGTAGTTGTAGTTGTAGTTGTAGTTGTAGTTGTAGTTGTAGTTGTAGTAGTAAGAAGTAGTAGCAGCAGCAGCAGCAGTAGCAGTAGCAGTAGCAGTAGCAGTAGCAGTAGCAGTAGCAGTAGCAGTAGTAGTAGTAGTAGTAGTAGTAGTAGTAGTAGTAGTAGTAGTAGTAGTAGTAGTAGTAGTATTTTATGCTGCTCTTATCTACCTACGATGACTTTTTTCTGGGGTGGGGTGCAATGGAAACCTGGGAACCCGCCCGTTCCCCACCAACGAAGCTCGATTCGACTCACGCCTTCACGCGCTCCACCAACGGCCGCCTATCCGGCCTAGACCTGGACAGAACCCACAAATTCCACACAAACAGACAAGCAAGCAAACTACCTAGCTGACTACCTCACCAACTAACCAGCCAATCAACTAAACTGACTCACTGACTGACTAACTGACTGACTGACTAACTAACTAACCGACTGACTGACTGACTGACTAGCTAACTAACTAACTGACTGACTGGCTGACTAGCCAACTACCTAACAAACTCACCGACTGACTAACTAACTGCCTAACTAACTAACTGACTAACTGGCTGACTAGGTAACTACCTAACAAACTCACTGCCTGACTAACTAACTGCCTAACTAACCAACTGACTAACTGACAGACTAACTAACTAACTAACCAACCAACCAACCAACTGACTGACTGACTGACTGACTGACTGACGGACTAACTGACTAACTGACAAACTAATTGACTAACTGTGGCTGAGTGCCTAACAAGCCAACAAAACAAAGGCGTTATCAGCCAAGAATCATGTCTGTGCGGTGGTGAACACGATCCCCTTCATTGCAATCCTTTGGCTTGGCTAGTCAAACAGTGTGTCGTCTTCTGACCACGAAAACGGGGGATTGCCCATCCCACGTGTTCCATTCCCGCCTCGAGCCACGTCCTTGGTGAAATGCCAGCCCGCCATCTCCCTCCCAAAATGGGTGTGGGTCGAAATTAAAGAACGAGGGTTACGCAGGGGTTGGTCTTTGCTCCCATTTACAAAGGTGACAATTTTTGTGCCTGCTTTTGAGCCACATATCTCAAGCCTTGGCCAGACATCTGAAGCCACCCATTTGCAGGGGTCAGTAAACGACCCAAATGTCGGTTGCACTGGGGACCCAGCCCCGACTCCTGGCAAGAGGGGCGAACCAGCCACGCGCCCCATGCAACGACCGACCCATTTACTGGCAAGCGAGTGTGTATCTCTCAAGGCGCGGGCCACATCTGGAAGTGTTTTTTGTTGAACAGCCAGAAGCCGACCCATGTTTCAATGGCCACAACTACCAGGAAGCCAATCTCTGCGAGCCTATTTTGTGTCCGGACGAGGTCACCTTTTGCCCGCTCCGAACGCCCGACTCGAGCTCCGCCCGCCGCGTTCGCGGCGTGCGGCACTTCGAAGGGCCGGCAGCGATGGCATGCAGCGGAGCTCAAATCCACTCTTGGTAAAAGCCCGCGCTTCCTCGGTGCAAAAAAAAATGCGCGGCTCTGACTCCGACTCCTGCCGAGTTTGGGCAGGACGCAATCTCCGAACTGGCGCTTACCTCCATGAAGCTGGGATAACGAACGTGTGAATGTGGAGTCTGCCATGCGGTTGGAAGCCAAGTTCTGGTTGTTTGACCAAGCGCCTGACAGGACGCTGCATAAGACTCCGCTAGGAATCATTGTACTGAGTCCTCCTGCTTTCAGCAAAATAACTTGAAACCTTACTCCACCAAGCGGACACTCCGTTCAAATTTTGACCCAAAAGTTGATGTTTCGATTTTCAATCCACCTTTACCAGAAATCTGTTCTTCTGTGTCAAAAACCAAATTTGGACCCCGAAATGAGTGGTTTCCATGTGTGTCTCTAGAAAGACTACGGCCCTTTCCAACCTGAAAGTGCATTCCCCGAGTGCCGCGCCGTGGTAGGGGGTCTTGCCCCGGCCCACCCGGTCGTACTTGGTGTAGGTCGTGCTGAACATGTGTGGGGCCTTGACGTGCGTCAGCAGCTCCTTGGGGAGGTCTTGAAGCAAATCACCTCAGAGTGGGCACCCCTTGAACACTTGCATTTCGCTGTTTGGAGACTCAGCTGCCTCAGGATTGGCTTAGTGCGGTTTATTAGTTGAGAGTTGCCAGGGTTTGGGCTCTTGCTTGGTGAATTGAAATGGGACTGTATGTTTTTTCCCCCTTCGTTCGCATTGCAACAAGACCTTTGGATTCTCCAACCAGGACAAACAAGTCATTCCCTAATAGTGGAGACCCACATTGTCCAACTTGCGTGAACAGGGGGTAGAAAGCTATATTTGAACTTAACTTTACGCAATTCAATCCTCATCCTCATTCTCATCGGGCAGATCTGACAGCACAGACATGAGTTGAGGCAGTATGTGCGCAGTGGAAGTTGTGTTGCAAAAGAAAACCACCATTTTGTGTCCCCAAAACAAGACACGCCGAAATGGTTTCCAATGTCTTACACAAAAAAATGGTGCTTTGGCGGAAGCGATCAGCTCTCAAAATGAGCCGCCGCCAAAAACCCTATGTGCCACGCTGGGATATCTCTGCGGCCTTCAGAAAAAGCCGCCTTCGGTTTTAGTTTTTGTTTGGGTCACGCGTGCCTCGGCTCGCTCCTCTTCTCTCTGCAAGCTTGTATGTCTGATTTGCTGCTAGAAAAATAACCTTTTTTACCACTCCAAAAACTCCGACTGCTTCTCATCATCATGAATCAAAGGAGCCAATGTTGACAGAAAGCGTGCTAACGCTTCGTCTGTCCTTTGAGCCTCGGTTTTAAAGTCACCTCCGTTTTGCGCGGATTTCACCCTGTTCCACTATCCGTATCCCTTAACAAACCTTTTTTGCGGTAGCAAGGGGGGAGGACCCTTAAAATGAAAAAACCGCTTGGCTTCCCCTTGGCTGTCCTTTCAAACCAACCGAAGCTGGGCTCCCCATAAAACAATCCAACAGCTCCACTCAGAACACACTGCCGGATCTTTGCTCGTCGCCTTGTTTCCGCTGGGTTGAAGCCTCCTTGCACGCTCCCTAGCTAGCAACTAATCCGTGGCTAAATCTCTCTGGATCTAATTGGCCATCAGCAAATATAGTTGCAGTTGCCGTCGGCGTATTTCTCCGGCTGCATTTGCACGCCGTTGGTGCATTGAACGCGATCCGTGGAACTGGGGCAGGACCACATGCCTGGGCACTGCTGCCGTTGAAAGTACTCAAGCCATCAGAACGACGAGAACTCTCCCAACGAGCTCCAAATTACACGCGACCCAACAAACACAACGCTTGCTTCCCACAGCTGTGCATTGGCTAGATGCTTTCAAATGTTGCAACATATCACTGCTCAGTACGCCCACAAATCACATTTGCATGTACATGCCTACACCTACGCCCACGCACGTGCATTTCTCAGTCTACCATACATACCTGTGTTTATATATATATGAATGTATACATCTATGGATAGCTATATATTTGCGCGCAGGGGATAATGAGTTGAGAAAACCTCAGCAAACCAGAGCCTCAAACTCTGCGTGCCATCCCATGATGCAATGGAATAGGCTGGCTAAAGGAAAGCAGCAAAAAGTGCGGAAAATCCTTGGTGGCTCAACTGACCCTCCCTGAGCAACACACCCACGCACGCGCCCACGCACCCACGAACGCACCCACGAACGCACACACCGACGCACACAGGCACCCACACACAGACACACACACACACACAGCTTGTCAACAACCAAAACAGTACTATCGGGTTCGATCCACGATTTTCTAGCACGTGCTACCACATTTTAAAGGCACCAAAAAAAGCTTAGCACACAAGATGTTGACCCACATAGAACTTCAGATGCAGGGGGAAGGAGGGGAGCATGTTAGCAGTCACAAATCGATCAGGAAAAGATGCGTTTGACCTTCTTTTTTCTAGTACAAGTGCGATGGTGCGATGAAACGCCTGGGTGTCGCATATGTATATGCACCCCAAACCCACCTTTCCAGCCTACGAGACTGAAGTTGGGTTTCTTGAGACAAAGCTCATCAACTGACCGGCAAAAAGCTCTGACCATGGTTCGTGCATTAACAGGCATTCCTTCCGCCGTGAAGATCTTCAATCCGCTGAAAAACGCTAGAATCTCAGAAGAACAAAAACAAAATGAGGAGTTGCAGGACTCTGCTTCTATCTTAGATCCCATAAAACGTTTTGGCAATGGACGGCCAACGCTTTATCAATCTTCCGTCTCAACCTGTGAAAGCGGGTCCAAAGGAACGTAACCAGCAAACTCTCTTGGAGAGTGCTTTCCTTTTCTGGGTGTGGGGGGTACCATACACGTAATAGATATACATATATATATATATATATTATTACTTAATATTCACATTTAGATATGCAAAATAAGCTACTATAGGCATAAACCGCAGTTGTGTTCCCTTCGCCCACGCTGGCTGGCCGGGCCACACTTGCTGAAGGGCGGGGCCATGCGGTTGCAGCCCATCAGCTTGGGCTGCTCCGCACAGCTGAGCTGCGACTTGCAGGAGAAGCTGCAGCCTCCCCCACTGCAGGCATCTTGGTGGATCACCTCAGGCGACTTTTTCTGGAAACCAAAAGGCCGAACTTTTATTTGTACATGGCTGTGGTTGTCAAAACCCATGGAATTCCTTTCAAACAGACCTGACATGAGTCAGAATCAAAACCCGACATCAAAAACGGTTGTAATCCCAGAACCATGCTTCAAAAAATCAAGAAGGCGGATCTCCGCAGCTATGGCAAGGGGATCGTCCCTAGCCTAACCATCTGCCCGAATCGGTTTTGAGCCAGCTCAGGCGGCCGGTTCGGGACCGGAAGGCCTCCCAAAAGAAAGGCACATGCTGACACCAGGATGAATCAACCCCAGTGCGCGTTTTATGTCCCCTCAAAAGTGATGGTTCCCCGCTAAACCCAGAAAAAAACACCCCCCTGTTGATGAACCGGGGTGTTGATTAATATGGGGTCAGCATTGGTCTGCTGACTGCCTATGATTGATGCTGTCCGTGCTGAGCTGCCTGGTCAGGAGTGCATTGGATCTCAATACCTCCATCTGGGCACCTGTCGCGAGCTTGCGCTTCCTTCGGCTTGCATGGGGTGGATGTTTCGGCAATTGAGGTGATACACGCCAATTGGTCGAGGAGTTCTTTTGAAGGGGGGGCAGGGAGACCTGATGAGGCCCTCTTCCTGAGCCCAGCAATGTGCAACATTGACTTTGAAGAATCTGGCAACATAGTGGCTCCAGGGCATCGACACAAGCATAGGCCCCAAGAAACAACAAAGCCAAGACCTCGAGTCTCGCCGTAGAATCTGGCAACTCGGCCCCAGTCCAGTGGACTCCGCTGTGTCTTGGCCAGCAGGGTGATTTGTTGACTGTTTGCAGGAACACAGGCGCCTCTTCCAAACAGAGCGCTTTTCCAAAACGGACCCATGGCCCTTGCACCTGGAACAAAATGAATTGGCAGAGGGCGTTCACCCACCTAAACCCCTTGCAGCCCTCCATCAACGTCGCGCCTGTACGTGCAGGTGGTCTTGTCGCAGCTCCCGGTCGGCACCGTGCCTCCTCTGCAACCCAGGATCGCCGGAGGTGTGGGTTCTGACACCGCCACCTGCAGCATCTCGAGCTGCTCCGCGGCAAACCTTACAAACAAACATCACCATCGACACTTTACGGACAATCTGCTGGCAAACCCGCCACGCAAGGCTTTTGTGTGTGTGAGCGTGTTGACGTGTGCTGGGATTCCAGGAGCAGCTTGTGCAGCAGGTTTTGCCCGGGGACATTTGAGCGCTATCTGTGGGCTGCTTCGAGCCTCAACCTTTGCAGGGGTAGGTTTCGAGGGTAGCAGGATGCCGCAAAGTGTGAGCCGTGTGCTGCACATGATTGCTTTCATCTGGCAAACCAGG